TGCGGTCAAGTGGAAGGAACTGGCACTGGGGAGTCCCAGCCCAGAGATGGGAACAGTATTCCACGTGAGACCGAACCTGCTCCTTGTAAAGTTGCAGGCGTTGTGCCGGCATGAAATACTGTCCCACTCTGCTGGGCACGCCACGCCTTTTAGAGGCCAATCTAGGAGACTACGAAACTGCACGTCACTCGATATGTCGACGCCGACAATTCCGATATTGGCTGAGGCAACAAGGGGAGTGCCTTGAAACCGAGGAGATACGACAAAGGGGTTCTTTTTAGCGGTAAACGCGCAAACTTGTGTCTTCTGAGGATTAAACTGGCCTAGATTTAGTCGCCCGCAATCCGAGACTTTATTCAGCAAAAACTCCACTTCAGACACAGTTAAGTTAACGTAACGTTAAAGTAACACACTAAAGTTTGTTCGTTTGCGACGTTTTCCCGAGAAATATTGACACGGCCGGTGTATAGAGCATCACGAGTGCTGTCATCCGCATAGCAATGAATGTAACCGGTTCGCAACATATCATTGATATGCAGAAGAAACAGCGTTGGTGATAGCACGCAGCCTTGTGAAACACCAGCGTTAATAGGCTTGTAGTCGGAGCATGCACCGTCTACAACGATCTTGATGGTCCGATCTGCAAGAAAGCTGATGAACCAATTGCACAATTTCTCGGGAAGCCCATAGGAAGTGAGCTTCGTAAGAAGCGCTTTATGCCAAACCCGATCAAAGGCCTTCGCAATGTCCAAACTAAGGGCCAATGCCTCCCCCTTGGACTCTAATGCCTCCGCCCATCTATGTGTCAGGTAGACCCATTGAGTTATAATGTACTATAGTACATATAACTCAATGGGTAGACCAGAAGATCACCAGCTGATTGACCCCAACGAAAACCGTATTGGCGGTCACTAATCAGCTGGTGATCCTCAAGGTACCGCATGAGCTGGCAGTTTATAATGGATTCCATTATTTTGGAGAACAAGAAGGTGATGGCGATAGGCCTGTAGTTGGACGGGTCTGAGCGACCGCCTTTTTAAGGGGTCGGGTGGACAAAAGCGGTCTTCCATGATTTCGGGACTGTGCCGAGGGAGTAGGAGTACCGGAAAATACGCGTTCGAACCGGTGCCAACTCGGGAGCACACGTCCTCAACACAATTGGGGGAATTCTGTCAGGTCCACTCGACATGTGGATGTCCAGGGAGAGGAGTGCTTTGCGAACCGACCACTGTGAGAACCGCACATCTGGCATGGAGCACTCACACCGCGGGATGGTCGGTGGTGTGTTCCTCCCGCCATCAAAAGTCGAGTTGGACGCAAAAAGGGAGCCTAAAAGGTCGGCTTTCTCTTTTGTGGCGTGGGTCAGTGTGTCGTCCTCCCTGTGCAGAGATGGTAGTGATGGCTTACAGAAATTCCCTTGGACAGCCTTGGCAAGAGACCAGATTGCACGGATTCCCGAAGGAGGGCGAACTAGTTTCTCGCCAATTCTGCCCATGTGCTCCGAGTTTGCCTTAGCAATAACTCTTTTGAAGAACCTGGAGGCGAAGTTATACTTCTTTTTAAGCATGCTGGTGTTTACATCCCGAGCCGCCGAAGCCACAGCCCAGGCCTGATTGACCTGACCCACTCCTGTTTACTGCGTAATGCAGTCTTATAGGAGCGACCAAACCAAGGCTGAGATCTGCCTCCAATAGGTACCACAGATGATGGAATAAATAGTTCCATTCCCTGTAGCACCACATCAGTGAGAGAGTCAGCAACAGTGCTTGGATAACCCGGTGAGAAGCAAACCCGTCCCCAGGGGTAGGATGCAAAGAAAGACCGCATTCTTATCCCGTCTCGTCTTTGTATTTACTCCTTGTTTTCTTCCCATTATAATTTTGTTAAAATTATTACTTATGAAATTGAAATGAGGTGATAGCGAGTGTAAGCGATGTCGATTTCGATATCCGTGTGGTCGTGTGTGTGACTGGTACCTAACTGACCTGACAGACGCTCGCGGCCGACCTCAGCGGGGATTCCCCGCTTAGCGACGCTGCGAGTTCTCTCAGTGAGAATGTGGCGTCGTACTCATCCGCGCCGCGCAATATTTTTCGTTACCGAAATAATGTTAGTTATCTAAAGGTTATACAAAGTTGTAACAAAACCCCTTAAAACAGCGCTACCGTTATTTTAAACCGGTTGCGTATCTGTGAATATTAACCACTTTCGGTCTGTCTTTAAAAAATTGTGATATCAATATTGTGTACCGGTAACGTACCTTAACCGCAATCAATCCCTGGTTGTTGCCCTTAAAACACATTCAATTTGGGATAATCTATACAAATAAATAAAATTGAAGTGTCTGTTTGTAATGTCAAAATTACAGTTTTTTACTAAATGCATATGAAAGTAAATACGATACCTATAACTAAAATACAATTTTTAAAATTTTTGTCTGTCTGTCTGTCTGTCTGTCTGTTTGTTCCGGGTAATCTCCGAAACGGCTGGACCGATTTTGACGGGACTTTCACTGGCAGATAGCTGATTTCATAAGGAGTAACATAGGCTACTTTTATTTCAGAAAAAGAATCAGGGTTCCGCGCAGATACATAAAAACCCTAACACGCGAACCAAGTCGCGGGGAACAGCTAGTTTCAAATAAAAGTAGAAGCCTTATTTACTCGTATTTTCATAAACTGCAATAACGGTAATATATCATTATTTATATATGTGAACTTAAGTTTAAAATTTGGCTACTCTTTGAAAAATAACTCTATATACATGTCTAGATGAATAATCGTGGTCGAAAAAGGGAGAAAAAAGTCCTCGCGCCGGTAAAGTCCTCGCGCTCGCGGCCATTGAGTGCTAATTGCATAGGCTGTGGTTTTGTCACCCACGCCACGGTGACAAAAGGCAACTCTCTTGGCTGGCTTAAGGGGAACATTCTAAGTAAACATATTAGTAAAATAAAAATAGGTATAAGAACGCTAACTTGCTTCCCACAATTGTTAAGCGAATTAGTACAGTGGGGAATATTTTAGAAAAAACAACGTACGTCCAATCTCAAAAATGACTCGGCAGGCATTGGTGGCTAGGTATGGGAGTTAGTTTACGTCGCTATTTACAATAACTGGCTACGGCCAGCAGCCAAATATGGCCTTGTAGCCAAATAACTAGTTGTAAGTTAAGCAATAAACTAGTGACTTTTGTTAACACGTGATTTTTCGTAAGTACCTACATTATGAATTAATAAATTAATAAACGATTGATGCCTCCTGACATGATGTCAAAGAACAATGGGGGAAAAATTGTTTATGTAATAATTAAGGGTGTACTTATATCATCACTATAAATATCAATAAAATTATTTACTGTGTTTTATCTAATCAAGCTTATGACCTATCGAAATTTGAAAATAAAATCTTCATATATAATTGGAAACTAAATTGACTAGTTGTTGTTGTTAATATTGAAAGAAATTGTAGTGCTATTTGCATAGATTAATGATAAGTCATCGGTCAGAGCGCGCGATGACTTATCATTAATCTATGGCTATTTGCTTATTTTATAAGATAAGAGATAGATTTGTTTTTATTTAAATCCCATAGAGCAGTGGTCGATTGGCCTTAAGGCAAACTACATCGCGAGGTTACAAAGGGGCGCACTCGAAAGTTTTTAAACGAAAACTAAATTTAGTACCTACTTACATAAAATAAAAACCATACTTTCTATAGAGATGTAGAACTGCCGAAGTGCACCCTGTCTATTTAATTACTCCTATATTGCCCTGGCTCTCTTATCACACTTTTCACACGCACTTGCACGGTACACATGACCTGGCCTACCCAATTATTTTACAATACAGTATATTATAATTTATAATATAGTATAAGAAGTTATAATTTACAAAGTATGGCCGTCAGTGGGACGCCACGCCGACCGCCGTATGCGGTACTAGTATAAAGCGCTGTCGACATTTTACCCGCCACTGCACTGCCATAGAGAATGTATAGGACAAGCTTGGAAAACAAATTAAGAAAAAAAAAATCCTAACCCTGCTAATTTCAGAGATCTTAAAAACGAATTAAATTTTTAAGATTTTATTGATAATTTGATTGCAGTGTACTAGTAGTAGTAGTAATTTGAGTGTGTAATTGAGATTGCAAGCAGTTCGAAGATCTAGAGGAGGCAACATTAAGTACTGATTATAACCCAAATTGAGTTTTGGCGGGAAATTGACCGGCGGCGGTTTGCTGCTCCTGTATTATTGTTTAAATAATGGTTTGAAGTGGACTTTGATATGTAAAAGTGTTGCGATTTTGTGTATTAAGTGTCTACGCATGTGAACTATTAGTGGAAACAGTGAAACAAGTGCTCTGATGGTGATGGATTCTCAAGATAAGCTGTTTGTTTGCATAGGCACCTTTAGATACCATCGCCAACTATCAGCTGTCTGCTGGATCAAGTTGCCGCCAAAATCTACCAAGAACTGCACAATGTGACGCATCAACATATTGTGAAGCAGTATACTATGAAGGAGTGGGGAAATTACAATAAACCGAATAAAAATACTTAAGACTTGGCCTAAAGGTCTAGATACCAGGCCATAAACTCCAAAAAAAAAAACCCAAATTATAGCCTTTATGGACAAAATGTAAGTTATAGCTTATAAGCTTTTAAGTAGCTTTAAAAAATTATTGGTTAATTTTTGTCACCTGATCATTTAATTTTTCGACGTTTGTAATTTTAAATTAATGAATAATAAGCAAAATTTAAACTAATAAATTTAATTGTCACAAATATCCATGATATTTTGTTATTTTGTTTGAGTGTCGTTATTATATAATGTTAAAAAGAAACAACGTATATTCATCACTATATTTATATTTGTAATAATACCACATATACCAAAAAATTTTACAATAGTTGTCTAATTAAATACTTATTTAATTTTTAATATAATATAAGTTTAACATTGTAGTAACGTTTAAATTACATATCAATTTTCTTGAATGATTTCACGTCACTACCTTCAGCCATCTTCCAAAATATTCGGTAAGCTTTTGCGCAGCATTTCTGAAAGAAAAAACATGTTGTTAAAAATGGGTTTCGAAAAAAAAAACTCACTGATGTTGCTCTTTCTATCCTCTTGGTCTTTTCAATTAGATTTTTTATAGGATAAGGTTGACAAGCGAGAACATAGTCCACCGATGGTAAGTGGTTGCTGTGGTTCATAGACATCTACATCTATCCTCGTTTGCGAATCAAAATGCAGATGCGTTGTCAGCCGTGCCGACTAAAATGGAATGCCTCGTTTCCAGTAAAAAGGGTCTCCGGTTTTCTACACTCACCATACGAAACACAGCAGCGTTAAGCTTCTATTTTACGCTGGTATTCTGTGAAAGCGTGGTCCGTCGCCGATCGAGCCGACCCGTACGTGTTACAACTATACTACTAATATAGCTACTCTAACCACGTATATTGTCGTCATACGGTAAAATCATTGCAGTAACAACAACTAAATTAACAAGGAGGCTTTTACAGTTACATCGGTATCAAGACCAGGCGGCCGGCTATATACAACCGGTGTAATTTATTACACGTATGGTAATAGTATGAGATATTTTAGAGTATTTTAGTAGCTCCAGATCTATACGTTCACTTTACTAATTGAACGTAAGCAAGCAATCTGCGTTGGGTTTCGGTCGGTCCAGTGAAATTTATGAATACAATTATAACTGCTGGCCCACCTAAAATATTTTGAAGATATGTGAGTCGACCAATATAACATGCATTATGGCAGTGTGTGGTCTTTCCTTTGCCCTATAAAAATCTTCTCAGAAATGAGGGCAGATCTGTACTTTTATATAAAAAAAAAAACAATGCATGAAATTATACAGTATATATGTACTAAAATTTAAAAATTCAACCTGATGAAGATAAAAGAGCCGTGTGGTTGGTTGGTGTAAGGTAAAAGCGATGCAACTATTCGTTCCGCTACGCGCTCCACATCTTCGCATCGACCTATCCAGACGGGTTCGCAGTGGCAACTGTTAATTAAAAATTAAAAAGTTTAAATATTTTTATAAAAATCAGCCTAACAAACAATGCACTGATAACATGGACCAAATAGCATAATAACTTCCTATGCAGGAAAGAATATGTAAACTGAACGCTAAAAATATATTGATATATATTTTTTTTAATTTAAAATGAAAGTTAATAATCCCGAATGAAAAAACATTGGATTAAGTTTGTTAATCATTATTTCGTTTCATGTGTTGTATCATGAAGGGTCAAAAATTATAAAAATAACCTTCTGATTTACATCGACTACGCCCAATATTCAAAGAATGAGCTGTGTCAATTCAAACCCTCGTAAGGAAACAATAGCAGAACCCAAATGAGATTAAGTTGGACTGGACAATATTCAGGAAGCTTCGTCAAAGAAGTTCGGTCTTCTCTTCGCCAATACCGCAAAGCTAAAATAAGAAAGTCTTCGATTAGTACGTCCTGCCTGTATTTGCATATGGTGATGAAACGTGGACACTGGCGGTACGACTATTTCACAAGCTCATAGTCGCCCGCATGGCGACTATGAACTTGCGTGAAAGAGCTAAGCACGCAGTTTCTATGGTGGGAAAACTCCACCGGAGAACCAAGGTCACCGACATAGCCTTTCGTTTGCAAGCAAGCTGAAGTGGCAATGAGCTGATCACATTAGTCGTATAAAGGTTGGAGTAGACGTATCATAGAATGGAGACCGCGCTTATGTAAACGCAGTGTAGGACGCCATCTGATTAGATGGAGCGACAATCTGCGCAAGGATGCGTGAAGAAAAAGATTGGGCTAGGTGACGCACCTTGAGAGTGGCCTATGTCCAACAGTTGACTGCCACAAATTGATGAAGATGATGATGAAGAAGGAGGAACCACTACACAGAGATTTAATAAACGAGCATGGCGTGACTTTTGGTCAAGAACTATGTCGGAAATTTGATGATCAAGAACAATATGACGATTATAATTGTTTGTATAATATATTCAGATTTTGTTCTGTCAAACTAAAAGAAATGAGAACTAAATTAATTGAAACTGCGTAAAACAGGGGTAAATTTAAATGCTTATACCATGAATGATCATGTAATATCACCATTTTATGAAAATTTTCGCACTTGGCTCGCGGATGGAGAAAGATGTTATTTGGAAATTTAGTAAAATTAATAGAATCAGGCGTTACTTTGCTGAAATCCATTAAAGTTGATAAAAATTAGCTCGCGTACATCCGCTGGATAAAATAAGCCATATCATTTTATTTTATCGAGCGGATGTACACGAGGTAATTTTTACCAACTTTAATTCGAAATTTAGTAGTCTAAGGATATTTAAGATCTGCCGACTTCCAAAAAGGAGACGGTACTCAATTCGACTGTATGTTTTTTATGTGTGTTACCTCATAACTTTTTACTGGGTGAACCGATTTCGATGATTCTTTTTATATTTGAAAGCTGATACTTCTCGTGTGGTCCCATATGAATTTGATCAAGGTCAGATCAATAGTTATTGAGTTATTTTTACATAACATACATTCATTACATAACATACATTCTTACATAACGTACATACATTCATAAATAAACGCCTGGTACCCAGAGAGGTAGGCAGGAACTACAGACTATCATTTGGCAAGATCCTGACATACCTCTCTCGCCTCGCTTCTTTCTTGATAATGTATTTTATTAACTTCTTTCATGATTATGAATTTGTTGAAATTCCACTAATTTACGAAAAAACAAAAAACGTTAACCATGTTAACCTAAGCTCACACAGTTTATGTTGGAAATAAAACTTTTCTTGAAATTATTCGATCTTTGCTGTATTTCTTAAAGAGCAGAAGATTTGTGCAAAAATTATCAGCTGTTAGAAAATAGTTGAAAAGTTCGATAGAGTGTAGATCCAAGACCAATAAATTCAAACTAAAATATTTAAAAGTTCTACGAGTATATATTGAAAAGCTCTCTCGCATTTTTGATCACAGGTTCATATCATAAAAGATATAGTTTTATTTTTAGAAATGCAAATATATTTTAAAAATTGAATTTGAAAATTGATTTTGAAAATTATTTTTTATAAATCAAATGAAATTGTATAATATGTGCAGTTAAAGATATACTGTCTTATACAAAATTTATGTTACTGAAATACATATAACTTAAATTTTGTATTTGACATTATTTATTAAATATATATCTAAACACATTTAAAAAAATATATTATGTAAATACCTTTCAGCAATATGTTGTAAGCTTGCTTTAAGTACAGCGTCATATGCGGTACTCGCTCCTCGAAACCCTCCATCCATTACGCCCGCGCATGCCCATGCCATGCACCCTCCCCTTAGTACAAGCGGTGATAGGGTTTCTAATAACTGGAGACGAAACATAATGAATGTGTATGAACAGTCATTAACATAAAGTTATCAAGGTTAAAATGCAGTTAATGGAATATAATATTATATTTTATCTATAGTTAACATATACGTGCCATAATACTTATGCCCAGATGTGGCGGTTTAGGAGAATCAATCACCCTATTTCGTCCCGTGGGTGCCGTAAAGACGACTATGGAAACACCAAAAAGGTCTCATAGTTTCCAATACATGGCGGTACAACCATCTCGTATATGCAAGAGCATACAAGGCTTATACTTAGTTGTAAAACGTCTGGTATTCTGGTATTGCCAACCCGGCTGTCAACAATGACAATTAAGGCAAATGCTTCCTAAAATGAAAAGGTCCCATATCAACATGAAACTTTTTCTACTTTAACAAAATCTTACACAATTCGTACACAATTTTGTGTACGATAATAAAGTAATTTTTACATAAATACATAGGTTTCATAAAACATTTTTTTTTAAATATTGAGCTTATTAATTTTGAAATAAGAACAAAACAAAGTATTTTAAAATACATTATCGATTATTACAAGAATGACCGCGCGTTTTGATTTGAACCGTGTGTGCATAAATGATGCAACCCACAACCTGGGCAAAATAATGATCCAGAACAAGGGCTCTGGATCATTATTTTGCATGCTAAGCAGGGAAAAAGGTTTTCAGCTTATTTCAAAGTGTGAAACACCACGAAAAATAACAAGTTATCCAAAAATCTACATTCAATTTTCTTTAAAATGATATGCATAACTTAATATAATAAGGAACCACAAGAAAAAAAAGATCATTTATCTTTCAAATATGAATAACAATACTTTGTTGGGTTGGATCATTTCTGCAGACGGTCCGTTTATTGTATGCTTGGTTGCGATCGCCTCACTTCAATTGGTTATTATCATTATTGAAATCTAATAGCATTTTTTTAAAATTATTTTGGTATCATGATTGCCATTGTTTTGATAACATCAGCAAGGTAAGTAACCGTGAAATTATTACACTTGTTAAATAGATATCTATTTCTTTAAATCTGTATATGCAGAAATGTGTGAAATACCTTTATTTTATGAGTTCTTTTCATATATTTCTCAATTTGATATTTTTTAAATTATGTAATTATCATCATCATCATCGGTAATACATAGTTATGACCTACATGTATTATATTATAATATTTACAAGAGCCACGCTACAACTATGGCTAAAGCACGGGTTGGCTAGACTGGGGTAGAACACGTGCTCACAGAATACCAGCGTGTAATAGCAGCTTAATGCTGCTGTGTTTCGTATGGTGAGTGTAGAGAACCGGAGACCCTTTTTACTAGAAACGAGACATTCCATCTCAGTCCTCAGGGGTGACAAGGAATCTGTATTTTGATTCTTAATTAAGAATAAATGTAGATGTCTATGCGGCATAGCATCCAATTACCATCAGATGGACTGTGTGCTCATTTGTCACACTTATTCTATAGATATAAAATATTGTAAAATGATGTCAATCTAACCTTCAAATTATTAAATACATCATCAGTTACTATCTGTGATATACCATCTAAACCATCTTGTTTAATATCCGCGCCGATTACCACTAAGGCGTCAACTTTATCCAAATCCGCTCCGCTCATCACTGTCGCTCCGTTTATTACTGAGCACACATTACAACCATGCGATTCGAGTTTCCTTGTCAATTCTTTTCCTAACGTATTTGTTGTATTTGTTACCTGAAATTAATACATACATATTTTTTTTTTTTTTTTTTTTATAGGAGAGGGGGCAAACGAGCATGCGGCTCACCTGATGGTAAGTGACTACCGCCGCCCATGAACAACCGCAACACCAGGGGAATTGCAGATGCGTTGCCGGCCTTTTAAAAAGGAGTAGGCTCTTTTCTTGAAGGTCCCTAAGTCATATCGGTCCGGAAAAATCGCTGATGGTAATCGATTCCACAAGGAAGTCGTGCGAGGAAGAAAACATCTTCTAAATCGCACAGTGGTGGACCGCCAATCATCCAGATGGTGTGGATGGTATCGGGAGTTCTGCCGCGATGTGCGTTCATGAAATTTGGCGGCTGGGATTAATCCGAACAATTCCTCAGAGCACTCCCCATGGTAGATGCGAAAGAAAATGCAAAGAGATGCAACATCTCTTCGCAGTGCCAATGAATCGAGCCGATCGGAAAGGGCTCGGTCGTCGACGATTCGAGCCGCTCTGCGCTGGATGCGGTCAAGTGGAAGGAGCTGGCACTGGGGAGCCCCTGCCCAGAGATGGGAACAGTATTCCATGTGAGGCCGAACCTGCGCCTTGTAAAGTTGCAGGCGGTGTGCCGGCATGAAATACTGTCCCGCTCTGCTGAGCACGCCAAGCTTTTTAGAGGCCAATTTGGCTTTCTCTTCCAAGTGACCACGAAACTGCACGTCACTCGATATGTCGACTCCGAGGATACCGATACTGGCTGAGGCAAGAAGGGGAGTGCCTTGAAACTGAGGAGATACGACAAAGGGGTTCTTTTTAGCGGTAAACGCGCAAACTTGTGTCTTCTGAGGATTAAACTGGACTAGATTTAGTCGCCCCCAATCCGAGACTTTGTCCAGCAAAGACTCGACTTCAGACACAAGTTTGTTCCGGTACTCGGCGACGTTTTCCCGAGAAATATTGGCCCGGCCGGTGTATAGAGCATCACCAGTGCTGTCATCCGCATAGCAATGAATGCTACCAGTTAGCAACATATCATTGATATGCAGAAGAAACAGCGTTGGTGATAGCACACAGCCTTGTGGAACACCAGCGTTAATAGGCTTGTAGTCAGAACATGCACCGTCTACAACGACCTTGATGCTCCGATCTGCAAGGAAGCTGGTGATCCAATTGCACAATTTCTCGGGAAGCCCATAGGAAGGGAGCTTCGAAAGAAGCGCTTTGTGCCAAACCCGATCGAAGGCCTTCGCAATGTCCAGACTAACGGCCAACGCCTCCCCCTTGGACTCTACTGCCTCCGCCCATCTATGGGTCAGGTAGACTAGAAGATCACCAGCTGATCGACCCCGACGAAAACCGTATTGGCGGTCACTGATCAGCTGGTGATCCTCAAGGTACCGGATGAGCTGGCAGTTAATAATGGATTCCATTATTTTGGAGAACAAGGAGGTGATCGCGATAGGCCTATAGTTGGACGGGTCTGAGCGGTCGCCTTTTTTAGGGATCGGGTGGACAAAAGCTGTCTTCCATGAGTTCGGGACAACGCCATGGGAGTAGGAGTACCGGAAAAGACGCGTTAGAACCGGTGCCAACTCCGGAGCACACGTCCTCAGCACAATTGGGGGGATTCCGTCAGGCCCACTCGACTTGTGGATGTCAAGGGAGAGGAGTGCTCTGCGAACCGAGCGCTGTGAGAATAGCACATCCGGCATAGAGCACTCACACCGCGGGATGGTCGGCGGTGTGTTCCCCCCGTCATCAACAGTCGAGTTGGACGCAAAAAGGGAGCCTAAAAGGTCGGCCTTCTCTTTTGCGTCGTGGGCCAGTGAGTCGTCCTCCCTGTGCAGAGATGGTAGTGATGGCTTACAGAAATTCCCTTGGACAGCCTTGGCGAGAGACCAGAATGCACGGGTTCCCGAAGGAAGGCGAACTAGTTTCTCGCCAATTCTGCCTATGTGCTCTGACTTTGCCTTGGCAATAACTCTTTTGAAGGACCTGGAGGCGAAGTTATACTTCTTTTTAAGTGTGCTGGTGTTTACATCCCGAGTCACCGAAGCCGCAGCCCAGGCTTGATAACACTCCTGCTTTCTGCGCAATGCAGTCTTACAGGAGCGACCAAACCAAGGCTGAGACCTGCCTCCGATGGGTACCACAGATGATGGAATAAATAGTTCCATTCCCTGTAGCACCACATCAGTGACAGAGTCAGCAACAGCGCTGGGATCATCCGGCGAGAAGCAAACCCGCCCCCATGGGTAGGATGCAAAGAAAGACCGCATTCCGTCCCAATCCGCCGACCTGTAATGCCAAACACGGCGGCAACCTGCAGAACGCAACCGCGAAGGGAGCGGTTGCATGCTTAGTGAAATAGTATAGTATAGTATAGTAGACTTTTTGAAATTTATACTTATTCATTTGAGCACTGGAAAGTTAAAGCCGAAGAGTATTTTGTTTTTCTAAAAAAATGAATGCATTCTAAATATTTAATTGCAGTCGTTTATGTTTGTTTTAACTCACAAGAACATTCTTAATCATCCGCCGTTGACTGCCAGTCTCTTTCGATCTAGCAGTATACGCCAGGAGAGCAGAAGTTGCTAGCAGAATGGTACCTCCCTCTAATGTCGCAAACAATCGCCACGCCAGCGACGCTCCGCCTTCTACGCTCTCTGTCATTACCACCTGAAATTAAAGTTTTATTTTTGGTCTATATCCGTTCTAGGTTTAGGTGTATAAATAGGTGTAGACCGCTGCCCAATCTAGGGGGACCAAGGGAAGAAGTGCGTCGCCTCTATGCAGGAGTGATACGGTCCGTAGCCTTGTACGGGGCGCCTGTTTGGGCGAAAAGGCTGGCCATCCAACGCTGTAGAGCTAAAATCTACAGGGTGCAGCGGAGGATGGCCATACTGATCGTGCGAGGATACCGCACAATATCCTTTGAGGCGGCGACACTCCTGGCTCGCTTCCCACCTCTGGACATACTGGCGGACATGGATGCGAGGGTGTACCACCGGACGCGTGTCCTCCGCCAGAGCGTCGGGAGTGAGCCAGATGAGGTGTTCGAAGGCGTCAAGCGGCAGGAACGAATTAACGCATTTGAAACGTGGCGCGCTCGCCTCTCTGAAGAGCGTTATGCGTGTAAACGCGTTGTTGGAGCAATCCTGCCGCACTTTGAAGCCTGGATGCATCGAAGAACAGGAAGACTCACCTACAGACTTACACAGATAATGACCGGGCACGGGTGCTTCGGTGATTATTTGTGTAAGATTGGACGGGAAGTGACGGCGAACTGTTTCCACTGCGGTGGGCAGGTACAGGACTCCGCATCCCATACGCTGGCAACATGCCCAGCGTGGGAACGGGAACGGACGGTAAGCCGGATCGGTCAGAACCTCTCCCTGCCGGCAGTCGTGTCGGCGATGCTGAGCAGGGACTCCGCGAGGAGGGCCGTAGCCACCTTCTGTGAATCCGTTATGATCCAGAAGGAGGCTGCTGAGTGGTGTCGGGAGAGGACAGATCCCGCTCGAAGACGACGCCGCCAAGGCGTTCGTCAGGGCCCTCCCCTTGATGATGGTGTTCCCCTACCAGAAACGGGGCCTCGGGGGTTACGGGCACTCGGGGCGGGGGCCCCGAGCGTCTAGTGATGTAACACCTGAGGAGGACGGTGACTTGAAAGTGGTCTCGAGCACCGTGATAGCATTGCGAGGGTGCTGGGGGTAGTAAGGACTGCCCCCGGGACGTGCTTTAATAGAGCAAAGCGTTCGGAACGCAACCGGGGCCCCCCCGGTTGCGTTCCGAACGGAGATCCCGGGACCCCTCATATACGCTGATGGAGACCACCGTGGGGTTTTGGCCGGTAGGAGTCCGGCATAACCTTTCCGTTTTCCGTAACAGAAGGTATCCATGAGGATTTCCCCACGATAAAAAAAAAGGCTTGCAACGAATATTCGGCTATTATTTGGTATTCGACCTATTCGGCTACTTTTTGGTCCTATTTGGTCGAATATTGAATATCTTGATAATATTCGGCCGAATACCGAGTACACAAATGAAATGTTTTATTGTAGTTACATTATTGGTAAAATTAAAATATTAATTTATTTTATAATAATGTATTTTTCTTGTAATTATTAAACTAGTCGTATGTACATAATCAACTTACAACTTATAAATAAATGTCTGTGCGCTTGAATTATCGTAATTAAAATTTAGAAGTGGAAAATTATGGTGCAGAAGGACAAATTTTTCTGCATTTTAAGGCAGTAGTCACTTCTATCCTAGACAATCCCAGCTTTAGAGAAAAGACGCTCTGAATACAACACTATATACTTTATACAGCTGGGAAGCCCGCAGAATATTCCGTATACGACGTGTGTTCGAGTATATTATATACTATTCGTTGCAAGTCTTAATAAATACACACTTTAAATATGACGCGAAAACGAAGGCCAGCCGGAGGATAGAAAAAAAAGAAATGAATTTAAAAACTACTTTATGTAAAATAAAAGAATTACATACAATTTATTAAGTTATATTGTACTTATAATAATTAACTTCTCTGTTTTTTCCAGTTTGAGTTTGTTCCACTTGCTTAGCTCGTTTTTTGTTAGTTTATTAGGTGCAATGTTGAATACCAATTTTGAATATTATAGGTATGTATAGTATATAGTAGTTATTTTGTGTGTTTATGTTGTAATGCAATTAAATTTTAAAATCTATACTAATATAATAAAGCCGAAGAGCTTTTTTGTTTTTTTGTTTGCTTAAACACGCTAATCTCTATAACTACTAGTCTGATTTGAAAATATTTTTTGTATATTATAGCCAGATTCATCAGGAATAGTTTAAGGTGTCTAGCATTAGGATATACCTTTCAGCTAGCCTTAAATATTGTTCAAAAATGGCCGAATTAATTAAATTTTCAAAATAGCATAGCAAGGTGAAATGAAAAGGGTTTAGAAATAAATTGTACTTGTATTTAAAGACCATATTCCATTCTTTACTTTAGTGTATCTTGGCGGTAAAGTGGAAATTTTTTAAGGAAGCTAAATTTTGAGCAAAAAAACTCGATAAATGATAAACCATGTTCATATTTCGTGGCAGATTGCGCGGAAATTATAAGTGTAACGCTTTTGTACGAATAAGATATTGATAGCAAAATCATGGGTCATTTCGTACACTTTTCACGTATCGTGTACGGTTTTCTTTAAAACTAGAAAAAACCGCGCTTCGAGACACTTTCTGGGGTACGGGGGGGGGGGGGGGGTGACACTCACCCGGTAGGGGGAGGGAGAGTAGATAAAATTCATCTTCGCTTTATAACGTACATATGCCGGTAGATAAAAGTACTCCATTAATTTTGTCATTTTTCCGTTCATTGCTATCTAAAATAATACGCGGTACGTACATTTATACGTGGTAGAGCCATGCTGCAGCTATATTATGGTTGTAGCACGAAAGAGTCGGCTCGACCGGGGAATGACCACGATCTCACAGAAAACCAGCGTAAAATAGCAGCTTAACGCTGCTGTGTTTCGTTTGGTGAGTGTAGAGAACCGGATACCCTTTTTATTGGAAACGAGGCATTCCATCTTAGTCCTCACGGGTAACAACGCATCTGCATTTTGATTCTTAATCGAAGATAGATGTAGATGTCTATGGGCCACCGCAACCACTTACCATCAGGTGGACTGTGTGCTCGTTTGTCACCCTTATCCTATAAAAAAATGCTTGAAATAGGTGTCATGTCATGTCGCGCGGCACGGACGCATGATATACGCGCGTGAAACCGTAGGACACAGCTAGTCCTAATAGTAAAATACAGACAGAGTGATTAAAAACTTCTGTTTATTTTCCTTTTTTATTTATAAAATTAATTTTTAGCGTCACTTGTTACTTTTTTCTTTGAAAGTGGCGCTGTCTAATCGTAACAGAACACAGTTATATACCATTGATCGTCGTCGATCGATGTCGATCGATTGGTGTGGTAGCTTTAGCCGATCGACAGATACTAGTTGATAAAATATGGTTCAATCATCGATCGACAATTAATCATGTGGCTGTGGGCTCATCATCAGTATCTTTCAGAATGTATTTTGAAGAGGACGCGTTATTGTTCGCCAATACGCTCTTGGTCGTATTATTGTTACGGGGACGCAAACAAAGAAGACTACATTTGAAATTGCGGTTTTTTTTGTACTTGTTGAATTAGTAACAGTGATATTGAAAATCTCTTACACGTGGTGACTTCCTCAATTGCGAAATTGGCTACTTATTACAGAAAATCTATTTATAAAATATAAAATTGTGTGAAAATAGGGAGCCATGGGTGGAACAGGGCGGGTTCTCGAATAATCAAGCAACTCAATCGACGTCGACTAATCTATTCTACCATCGATCGATCGGTGTAGTAGAAACTATCGATCGATTGGTGTGGTAACACCCTAATTTAGACAAACGTGGTGCTTACGGCAAATTCTCTTACCGTAGACAAATGTAGAGCTTACATCAAATTCTTTTTACGTGGACAAACGTGGCTCTTTCGGTAAATAGCCTTTTAAAGTAAAAGTTATACTAATACCTTTTTTGGTTTAACTTTTAGGGGAGGATTTTTTTATATATAAGCACACAATCCACTTGATGGTAAGTGCATGCTGCGGCCCATAGACGTCTACATCTATCCTCGATTACGAATCAAAATGCAGATGTGTTGTCAACCGTGAAGACTTATTTTATGAAACGCTATGTAAATGGTTTGCAAAACATCTGAGCTCCTTATGCCATAAACGATATTACGTCTATTATCTCTTCTTATTATCGACCATCATCATCATTACAGCTTATCAAAAGTCCACTGCTCAACTGCAAGTTTTTAATTTTTTAGTTATCATTATGAAGACGCTGCTGCCCATCTTCTGATATGTTTCCCCTTGTCACGTTAAACGACGTAGTAGATATTCTTACTTTTTTTACGATTTTAATTATCTTACGGTTGTTTTTTATTATCTTAACTAACTGTTCCCCGCGACTTCGCCCGCGTGTAATTTAGGGTTTTAATTATATTACGCGGAACCCTAATTCCTTTTCTCAAATATAAGTAGCCTAATTTACTCCTTATAACATCAGCTATCTGCCAGTGAAAGTCCCATCAAAATCGGTCCAGCCGTTTCGGAGATTAGCCGGAACAAACAGACAGACAAGCAGACAAAAATTTTAAAAATTGTGTTTTTGTTATAAGTACCGTATATACTTTCATATGCATTTAGTAAAAAGCTGTTATTTTGACATTACAAACAGACACTTCAATTTTATTTATTTGTATAGATAAGAGGGATTTGTGCTATAGCCACGCCTGGTAAGCGGGTTATGAACCGCATATGTGTACTTGGTGCTTAGTGGCGACGTAAGGATATTCACTAAATCCAGGGTGAATGGAACTGAAACAGGAGATGGGCAGTATCTTCGCTATAACTGTTCAAAATAATGAAAAACTTTACAAATGACAAATGTGGAGGCCCATTATGTTCAGCAGTGAACTTTTGATACGCTGTAATGAATATACTTTCATAGCATGCTAAATTGCAATGGAGGAATGCACTTTTATCTATTGCACGCCACATAACGCAAAGCGTTATTAGGTAGTGCTTTACTCTCGGCATGTCAAGGTCAAGAAATTT